GGAATCACAATCATGGGAAAGACTGCTGACCTGACAGTTGTGCAGAAAATCATCATTGACAGCCTCCATAAGGAGGGAAAGCCTCAAAAGGTAATTGCAAAAGAAGGTGATGTTCCCAAAGTGCTGTATCAAAGCACATTAATAGAAAGTTATGTGGAAGGGAAAAGTGTGGAAGAAAAAGGTGCACAAGCAGCAGGGATGACCGCAGCCTAGAGAGGATTGTCAGGAAAAGGCCATTCAAAAGTGTTGGGGACTTTCACAAGGAGTGGACTGAGGCTGGAGTCAGTGCATCAAGAGCCACCACACACACAGACGGATCCTGGACATGGGCTTCAAATGTCGTATTCCTCTTGTCAAGCCGCTCCTGAACAACAAACAACGTCAGAAGCATCTTACCTGGGCTAAAGAAAAACAGACCTGGTCTGTTGCTCAGTGGTCCAAAGTCCTTTTTTTTTTGATGAGTGCAACTTTTGCATCTCATTTGGAAACCAAGGACCCAGAGTATGGAGGAAGAATGGAGAGGCACACACTGCAAGATGCTTGAAGTCCAGTGTGAAGTTTCCACAGTCTGTGTTGATTTGGGGAGCCATGTCATCTGCTGGTGTTGTTCCACTGTGCTTCATTAAGTCCAGGGTCAACGCAGCCGTCTACCAGGAGATTTTGGAGCACTTCATGCTTCCTTCTGCAAACAAGCTTTATGGGGATGCTGACTTCATTTTCCAGCAGGACTTGGCACCTGCACACACTGCCAAAAGCACCAAAACCTGGTTCAATGACCGTGGGATTACTGTGCTTGATTGGCCAGCAAACTTGCCTGACCTGAACCCCATAGAGAATCTATGGGGCATTGCCAAGAGAAAGATGAGAGACATGAGACCGAACAATGCAGAAGAGCTGAAGGCCGCTATTGAAGCATCCTGGTCTTCCATAACACCTCAGCAGTGCCACAGGCTGATAGCTTCCATAACACGCCGCATTGAGGCAGTAATTGCTGCAAAAGGAGCCCAAACCAAGTACTGAGTACATATGCATGCTTATACTTTTCAGAGGTCCGATATTGTTCTATGTACAATCCTTGTTTTATTGATTGCATGTAATATTCTAATTTTCTGAGATTGTGGATTTGGGGTTTTCATGAGCTGTAAGCCATAATCATCACAACTATGACAAATCACGGCTTGAACTATCTTGCTTTGCATGTAATGAGTCTATCTCATATATTAGTTTCAACTTTTAAGTTGCATTACTGAAATAAATGAACTTTTGCTCGATATTCTAATTCTTCAAGTTTCACCTGTATACTGTGCACTGCAAGTGCAGTTGCTCCAGAGCTTAGTAATGAAGTAAAGCTTCTCTTTGAAAAGAATACCCAATCACATGCAAGGAAAATAGAAAAAACTGAATTTTTGCTTGCACATGATTAGATGATGGAAATCAGCAGCGCTGCCTTTCATTTCAGAGCTTCTCCTCAGACAGAGCAACTGCATTTGCAGTACACAGACTATTTACCTTTAATGAATTTTAATGCAAAAAACACAATGGGGTTGATTTACTAAAGTGTTTTTTTTTGTTATACAAAAAATTTGCGTTTGAAAAACTGCTGCGCAAATGCTATATGACATAAAAAATTGCAACACCCACTAATTTATTCTCTAGGATCTCTGCATAACTAGACCCCGGATGTCTCCTTAAGCAGAACCTGTCACCTAAAATTCATCTCATCAAAGTTAAGAAAAAAAAAATGTTTTAATTGTAAAAAATGAAAGTTACACCCAAACATATAAAATCCCCCACCAAAAAAAGGTTGGAAGCCTCTCCACTTGCACATTTATGCACATACAAATGTAAACGCACGATTCGGGGACGCCTATGCATGAAACCGTTGATTGTGATATACATGTTAAATATCACCACGCACGCCGGAGCAGGAGCAATATTTCTAGCACCAGACCTCCTCCATAATGCTAAACTGATTACCTATGGGGGACTTTTAAAGTGTTTACTATAGAAAATTTAAGGTACCAGGGGTGGACTGACCATTTGAGCACTCGGGCACTGCCCGAGGGCCCGGGGTCAGTAGGGGGCCCCATGAAATGCCCCTGGTACCTTTTATAGGCTTTTTTGGGTGTGCTTTGAGTGTGGGCAAGGACAAAGGGGCCCCATGATCCCCTATTGCCCGGGGGCCCCATGAGTTGTCAGTCCACCCCTGTAAGGTACTAAGGTTTTTTGCTATTTCAACACACACACATATTTAAGGTTGGACATGTTGGGTATCTATTTACCCGGCGCAAGCTCATCTTTTATATTTTACCAAAAATGGGTAATTTATTGCATTTGTTCGCCATAAAATTAACTTTAGTGTATTTTTTACTGAAATTTTGTTTCCTAGACCTTTGCTGCAATACCATGTGGCATAAAAAATTGGGACTATCACTATTTTTTTCTCCAGGGTTTCTGCTTTCAGAAAATCCATCATGTTTTGGGGTTTATGCAATCTTCAGGCCTAAAACCATTTTTTTAAACGTGCAAAGAAAACACAAAAACAGCTCTGGCAGCGGAAGCGTTTAAACAATGATGAATCTCAGTAGGCGGCAGGGCATGGCATCATCGCCCTTCTTTTCAGAGGGTGATCATGCCATGCCCCACCGCCTTGATTTTCAGAAGGTATTTGATAGGCAGTTGAGAGGCGATGTGTCTCCACCTCACTGCCTTTTTTAACCCTGTAAGTCTTGCACCCCTGTGTCACACCTGCATGCAAGGTGTCTGTCTCTGTATGCTGTGTAGCAGAGCGGCATATTTGCCACCACTATCCCCTTCCCACCTGTAACTGGTTGTTGAGGACGCTGTCACCTTCACAACCAATAGGCTTCTAGCAACCTGTGATGCTGACAGTGAGTGAAGCCTGAGGATGATTCATGGACAATAGTCCCCCATCAGGTTTGCTGTCTCCATGTGAATGACAGCAGGCAGTGGGTGGATTCCATTGGCTATGGATCTGTCTGCTGTCAATCACAAGGAGGAGGAGCAAATCTGATGGGGACTTATTCAGGCCACACATGGGTTGAATTCCCTCCTCACTGGCCTGCCGCGCCACAGGCTATCCCCGCTTCAGTCGATCCTGAATATGGCAGCCAGACTCATCCACCTTACCAACCGCTCCGTTTCCGCCACCCCCCTCTGCCAATCCCTCCACTGGCTTCCGATTGCCCAACGGATCAAATTCAAAATCCTAACACTGACGTACAAAGCTGTCCATCATACTGTCCCAAACTACATCACCGACCTAATATTCAAGTACCGCCCAACACACACTCTCCGCTCCTCACAAGACCTCCTTCTCTCTAGTTCCCTGGTCTCCTCCTCCCATGCCCGCCTCCAGGACTTCTCCAGGGCGTCACCCATACTATGGAACTCCCTACCCCAATCCATCAGACTATCACCTACTCTCCTCTCCCTTTAGGCGCACCCTGAAAACCCATCTCTTCAGGGAAGCCTACCCCACCCCCTGCTAATTCCCGACCTCCTCCTCTCTTCCTACCACTCCATCCCCCACAGCTATTTCCTCCTGTACCACTATCCCCTCCCTCCTAGATGGTAAGCTTCAAGGAGCAGGGCCCTCGAACCCCTCGTGTATCGCATTGTATTGGTATTCTACTGTCGCATGTTCTGTCTCCCATTGTAATGTACAGCGCTGAGTGAACTGTTGGCGCTTTATAAACACTATATAATAATAATAATTCTGAACAAATTTGCTTTAGAAAATCGGACATTTCCTGCATTTTGTAATCCAATGATGCCACCATTGATTTCGAAATTCGACCAACCAAGCCTTTAATATCAACTCATGTTGCTACAGGAAAGAATTTTCGTGGCCAATAATTTTCTTTTCTTTCCAGGTCACAGCTCATGCTCATTTCTTTTTTCAATTACATTTCTCACACAATTCTCCCATCGTTGATTAGAAATTTGTACGTTTTTTTTCCAAAAAATTTGCAACATGCCCAATCACTCAAATTGGATGGTCACTTGAAAATCGTCCGTTGCTGTGGCCAACTAATGGTGTAAAATTCCAACAAAAATTCTTAGTAAAGATTTTCGAAAGAAAATTCTTTCAAAATTCGACCCATGTATGGTCAGCTTTATGCAAGCCATACATGGTTCAAATTCCAAACGATTTTCATACAAAAATCGGACCTAAGAATAATCGGCCGATGTTAGCTCTGTTAGTGAGGCAATGACATCGGACGATTTTTGGTGGTTCCTCCCCATTTCGTTTATCAGGCATGCTGGAAAATTTGTGAAAAAAATACAGATTTTTTAAATCATTGGTGGCACCATCAGATTACAGAACGAACAGTGTTTCAATTTTCCGATGAAAAATCGTTCGGGATTTGAACCATGTATGGCCTGCATAAGTGTGTGTACATCCCCATCAGGCCTTCCACACCCAGCTGCAAAGTTCATGTCTGTGTGATGGCTGCAGCAAAGGGAGTGCTGTAGGGACACCCTAGTCTTGGTATGCCTCTGCACATGGTGCTTGCCCCAGATTCATGTACCTTTTCTAACAGGTACTTGAATCTGTCGCACACACCAGCATTTGTTACATGGAGGCAAAAGGAAATACTAAAGAGCGTCATAGATACTCTTTATGACTTTCCCCTGACTGTACTGTATCTATAGAGAAAACAGTATTGTCCCCGAAGGACAGCAAGTATATTAGGACTACAGAATACTTACCCCTCTCCATTTCTGCATAACATAGGGAGGAAGTATTCTGTTGTCCATAGAATCAGCAGGGAATAATGGTAACCGATAACAGTGCAACAGAGGGTACTTCTTCCCTATGTCACTAGATTTCTGGCAGGATCAACAGATTTGGCACATATGGTATATTTTTAACAGACCTAAAGTTAGATCATTCGAGAAGATCATTGATGGGGTTTACACTTTATCTCCTCCTTAGCATTCTCTTGGTGAATTTTGGTGAATTTTGATCTTTTTGATTAGGTTTCAAAGAGGGGAATGACGTACAGTCAGAGGGAAAAGCAGATAGCTGAAGCTCGACGTCATGAATTTATTCGGGAAGACCAGATAAAAAGACTGAGCCAAGAGCAGCAGCTGGAAGCATGTCTAAAAAGTGAGGAGCGTGTGGAGAAGAAACGCTATCTTAGAAGACTGCAAGATGAAGAACAGGAGAGACAAATGGAGGATGCCATTCAGCAAGTAAGATCTGCTGACCTTTTATTTCATACTTGGATAACCATGTGGCTTAGGATTGTGATTGGATGGAATCTGGATTCTTTTTGTTTACAATTAGTAAGATCTAAAAAAACATTACATTTATTCTAGGTTTTGTGACTTAAATCGGAACTTCACACTCTCAAGCAACATTGACTATTTTTAATCCTTCTGTTGCTAGCATTAGTAAATAGATAGAAAATTATATCATAACAAACTTTTTTTTTTCTCTTTTTTTTTTTTTTTTTTTTTTTTAATTTCTTCAGTTACTTCCTGGTTTCCAGGCCTAGGCAAATGATGGCATGCAACCCAAGAGTCTTCAGGAGAGGAGGAGGGGCTGTCTCGGCAAAGTACACCCTCCTATCTTTATGCCTGAGCTAAGGGCGAATGGATTCCAGGAAGTAAATGCTACATGAATCATCTGCCCTTACTCAAGATGGCCATGGTCAGAAATGCTAGGGCGTGTTTTTCAAAGTGTTTTCTCAGCAAAATAAAGAATAGAGACATGGATGGATGAGTGAGTTTGCTTTGAATATTAAAACTGAATTATCCCTTTTGCTGCCAGGTCCACCCAATTGCTTCCACACACCCCCTAGTAACAGCGCAAAAAGTCATCACATATGGGACTTTTTGTCTCCCTTGTGATGAAGAAAAAAAAAAAGTTAACCGCTTTCCCGCCACCCTATAGCAGATATATTGCTACAGGGCGGCAGGTGTGCGCAAAATCACGTATATGCGTGATTTTGCATTTCCGGGTATGGGGCGTGCCCTACCCGCGCTGCTATTCGTGGCCTCGGCTGTCAATCACTGGGTCCCAGCTGGTGGTTATTCACTGACACCCAGGGATCGAGGAGCTTTACCGATGGAGGGAGAGAACTGTATGTAAACAATACAGTTCTCAGCTCAGCTCCTGCACAGTGAAGCACACACGCACATAGAACACACTTAACTCTTTGATCACCCCTTCCTTCCCAGTGCCTTTGGTACAGTGTCAGTGCTTTTTATTAGCACTGATCACTGTATTGGTGTCAGTGGGGATGTCAGTGACACCAAGTCAGTTTCCCCCCGTGTCAGAATGCCCGCCGCAGTCCTGCTATAAGTTGCAGATCGCCACCATTACTAGTAAAAGTTAAAAACAATCCCAGTATATATACCGCCATTTGTAAATGCTATAACTTTCATGTAAACCAATTAATTCACACATATTGGGATTTTTTTTAGCAAAGACATGTAGCAGAATACATTTTGGCCTAAATTTATGATGAAATTTTGTTTTTTTAAAAAAATGTTTAATAGCAAAAAGTCAAAAATATTGTTTTTTTTTTCTCAAAATCGTTGGTCTTTTTTTTTTTTTTTTTTTTTTTTTACAGCACAAAAAAATAAACTGCACAGGTGATCAAATACCATAGAAATAAAGCTCTATTTGTGGGGAAAAAATGACCTAAATTTAATTTGGGTGCATCGTTGCATGACCGCGTAATTGTCAGTTAAACTAACGCAGTGTTGTAATGCAAAAAAAAGGCCTGGTCAGGAAAGGGGGGTAAATCCTCTGGAGGGCAAGTGGTTAAGCAAAAAAATACGCATGTATGAACGTAAACTCATGTGTCGGGGGCACCTACATGTGAAAACATTGATTGAGATACACGTTACATATCACCGCGCACGCCAGAGTGAGAGCAATATTTCTAGCACAAGACCTCATTCGTAACACTAAACTGATGACCTATAGGGCACTTTGAAGCGTCGCCTATAGAAAATATAGGGTACTAAAGTTCATTGCCATTTCACAGATGGTTTGACATGTTTGGTATCTGTTTACTCGGAGCAACCTCGTCTTTTATATTTTACAAAAAAAGGGGGCATTTGTGCCCCCTACAATTCACTTTTGTGTGTTTTTTTTTTATTTTTTTTTTTCTAAATTTTTTTGCATTTCCTAGACCTTTGTGGTAATATGGTGTGCAAAACAAGGCTCTGGCAGCAAAAGGGTTAAATAGCATTTTTGGTTTGTGGGGCTCAGATGCAGTGTAGTTCTGCTTTAAAGTGATATTAAACCATCAGTTTTTAATCACTTTCAGCAGGTGATTAATCACATACAGAGTATGCAGCTTCTGTATCATTTAATCCTTGCCTATTTTTCTGTGTAAACTGGTGCCATGCACCCTGCCCCAGGTTTCCTGTTCCAGGGTGGCTCCTTTATCTTGCAGTGTGTTGTGGAGTCACCCTTGCATGCATGGCATTAATAGAAATACCAAGCGATGTTTAGAATGGCAAGACACTCCTGATTCTCCCTCCTCTTCCCACCCATCCCTTTTTCAAGTTAAGATCTAATTCAGACTGCACTGTACACTTTTAACTATTTTCTGTGAAGACAGAAGGTTCAGTTAAGCAGCAGAGCAAGTTTGGGGGTATGACTTTTAACGGGGAAGGCTAGGGAAAGGATGGGGTATTCTCAATAATAAATACTATATAATAATTATTATTATACAGCATTTATATAGCGCCAACAGTTTGCGCAGTACTTTACAATGTGAGGGCAAGCAGTACTGTTACAATATGATTGAATACAGGAGGAATCAGATAAATAGTGTTGCGCTGCTCTGTGACAATCAAAATCAATACACAAAATGAAATGTAAAATACATATACACAAAAATAATCACAGTTCCATATATCAAAAAGAGTAGGTGAATTAAAAAAAAAAAAAAAAATATAACAAAATAACAGTCGTTTGTAATTTACACTCCCATCTTGCCTGTGAAAGTGCTCCACCAATATTCACGTGCTTCACCAAACTTTAAAAGTGTACCACCACCAGAACAAGTAGCCGCTCACCTGAACTAATGGACCTATATAAATATACAGGTCTTAGGGCTCGTTCACACTAGGCTGTTTTGCCAACGCTTGCCAAACGCCCCTATAGCGTTTGGCAAGCGTTGGTCCGGCGTTTGCGGAGCGTTTTTTAACGCTCGGCAAACGCTCCGCAAACGCCGCATGCGCGGTTTAGCGGCGGTTGCTAGGCGTTTGCCGAGCGTTAATAATGCCCCACAAACGCCTATAATGCAGTTTGAGTGGTGTTACCGCTCCGCAAACGCCCCACAACCGCGTCGCAAACCGCACCGCAAACGCCGGCGTTTGCGGAGCGGCACCATAGACGAGAATAGGAGGCTTCAAAGCCTCTGACTCGTCCAGAGGCGTCCGTTTTGCCGCGACGCGACGCAAACGCTCCCGTTAGAACAGCACCATGTGCTGTAATGTGCAGAATTGGCAGAGGCGTTTGGGAAGCGGTAAAAACGCTTCCCAAACGCCTCTCTGCCGCCTGCACACAAGGCTAGTGTGAACGTAGCCTTAAAAGCATGACTGTCGAACAGCAGCATGTATCTCCCAGACAGGACTGCAGGTGGCAGCAGGTCCCTTTTAGATCTCCTTAGATAATGGCAGCTGATTCACTTGAAGGCTAGGTTCACATATGTGCAAGTGGTGCCACTGAGGATCCGCACGAAAATCCGTGCAGCCGCCCCACCCGCACAGAGAAATGCGGACCCGTGGGCGGGTGCCATTAGTTCTAACGGCACGCCGCTCTCACTGGAAAACGCAACTGTACTGGGAACCAAGGTTCCCGTGCGGGCTGTGTTTTCGGAAGAGGTGCAGGGACTTCTTCCATGTGTGTCACGGACATGGGAGTCCATTCAAATAAATAGGCTCTCATGCGCATGCAAAACGCGGCCCGCATGGCTGCATATATGTGAACTGGGGCTTAATTCACGGGACTCACAATCTCCATCACCACAAATAAGAATAGGAAGTTGGGGTATTCTATATATGAAGGAGCCGCGCGGTCAAATTGCGAGTCATAAAATGGTTCACCCAAGTTTATGTAATGTAAAATTTTGCCATTTTCATCAGTTAGTTTATTGCCATCTGTGACCTTGCTGAGATGATTTCCCCTCACTTTGTGTCAGGACATTTGTAGAAATATGAAAAAAATAGTTAGGGCCTCTCAATTTTTTTTTTTTTGTTTGTCTGTTTGCTTGATGACACAAGGACAGGAAGATATTTATATTTAGTAAGATACCAGCACTAGGAACTAGCCAGGAACTGTTGCAGTGCCAGCAGTGAGTAGAGGTATAACCTCCTCAGTGAGCTTCTTTGGCTTCATTGTCCATTCAGCATGTTGGGGGGGGTGTTTTGACAAAGCTGATGCTGCAGTGGAGGGTTAGGATCTAGCTGTACTGTCTGTAAGGGATTCCTGGATCACAATACAGTTTTTGTAAATACGAAAATGCTTCCCATATTTTGTACTTCATTTGTGAATTTAGCTGATTTGACTAAAGTCCAGTTTTAAAGTGAAAACATTTTGTCCAATTTTTGGATCTTGATAAGCTTCCAGTATGTAAATTGGCTGATAATCTAATGTCATTAGGGCCCATTCACATTGAACAGACAGATGTTGCACAGGTAAGCTGCAGCAGTTTAGACTAACAGCTGTCTGCTCCAGTTGCAGTGAGCCGGCAGTAGGAGGCGGTATGGTGCTCAATTCAGCTCATCACACAGCTCACTTTTTTTTTGTACTAATGTTATTTGAACTGTACAAAAGTGACACTTCATTCTTGTCGCTATACACCAGCTTGATGCTCTGTACTTCTGTTCAGTGGCATGCAATCCTATCCAGTGCGCTGTAATAAAATATAGCATTCCTGCATTTTATCGCAGATCACTGCAGCAAAGTTCTTGGCTGTGTTTCTGTTTGAATAGGGCACATAGAAAACAATTGTTTTCTGTGTCCCATCAGTGACTAGCGTTTTACAGTGTGGTAGAATGCACTAGCACAAAGAGCATTTTGTGTGCCAATTACTGGGAGGTGGATTGTGTCTGCTTCCACCGTAGACAGCTGAGACATGCCATTTTTTTTTTTCTTTTTTCTCAATTTTCAACAAATGTTCAGTTGTCAGATTTGTTGGCAAAAATGAATGTCTTTACACTTTCTGTAGTGTAAAGTTGTGAATAATATGTCCAAGTTACTTTGCAAAATGAAATGTATACATCATTTCACAATGTATTTCTATTTTAAATATAGACAGAGGAAACCAAAAGACTTAAGGAATTACAGTTGGAACAAGAAGAAAGAATGGCTAAGGAACTGGCTAGGATCAACCAAGAAAAGCTGAAAGATGAAAAACTAAGGCAACAGATACGTGAGAACAGGTAGTTCATTGAATTAAAGGCAAACCATTTTATTCTCTACTTCTAGAAGTGTTTTTTTTTTTTTTTTTCTTGAGTTGAGTAGCAATTCCAGTCCTTTTTGAACCTTTGCTACTGCCTTCCTCTTCCCGATTGGCTGCAATTTTCAGCTCTGAACATAACGCCAGGCGTTGCTGTATACATAGCAGCTGCAGATGTCAAGAAAGAACTGTCTGACATGTTTATCAACACCGTTCATATAAACTTCCATCTGTGGATGCTTTTTTTTTTTTTTTTTTTTTTTTTTTTTTAAATATATCTATTTCATGTATAAATAAATTAACAATGCCTTGTACCATAATCATAAATTTGTCTCATTTTTAAATGGGACAAGTTATAAAAAGTATATTTTTATTCTACAGTAACACTATTTTAAATGAACACTTGCAAAAAAAGTGCCTTTTTTGAGTTTTGTTACTTTGTTTTTTTTTAGAATTAAATAAAAATATTTGCAAGACAATATCGCAAAGGAAAGCCTTGTTTGTCGGTTAGAAAAACAATTTATGTATTACTTTGTTATCCAAAGTTGTTGTAGAATACACAGGCCCATAGCAGAAATCTAAAAACCTCTGTCTTCCATAGGGGTATACAGGTGGGAGAGAGGGATAGTGGTTAAAAAACCTGCTTAAGCATAAGAATTGCATTTTGTATGCCTACACTTATCTTGTTCATAATGACTGTACTGTTTTCCCAGCCTGGAGCTCCGAGAATTAGAGCAAAAGCTGAAGTCTGCCTATTTAACTAGGGAGCGGGCTGCACAAATAGCAGAAAAAGAGGTCTTCAGATATGAGAAAATGGTATGTTTTTTTTGTTTTGTTTTTTGCTTTTTTTTTTACCTTTTGATAAGAACAACACTAATCTATGATTGGCTATTTAAAAGACATTACTCTTACTTTTTGCTTTTTGTTAGTTATTCTAGAAAGTCATTAATTCCAAAGATTAAGTCTGGGAACCCAGAGGTTGTATTCATAAGAGCAGCACTGCTGGTTTAAAATTGAACTCCAGACAGATTTAAACAAAAATGCTTGCAAAAGAGTCCTGCATTTTGATGGGGTTGAGATTGTTAAAATAAGTGCAGTAAAATCATGTTAGGGTGCCTGCTCTACAGCCTTACTTTTACTTTACATATAATCTCCTGTTCACTTTAAAGATTTTCCTGTCCTGTTCACTTTGAAGAAAACCTTTGTCTCCTAGATTGCTAAGAGAAAAACATTATACTTCGTACAAAACAAATGTAGTCCAATTTTATTAAATCCAAAGATAATGAAATCAAAGAAAAACATTTTAGTACAGTGTGCAAGTAAAGACTAGAAGCAGACAGTACATAGAAATGTATATACAGTGCACAGACTATATGTAACACTATAATACAAAGTTAGACATATTTCTGGATCAACATATCCAATGTACTTGTACATTTTTTTTCCTGGCAATTTTTATCAGCTTATCAAAAGAAGGACGTTTTTCCTTCTGGTGGTCCTGAATGCTACATTTATCTTTTGACCCTTGACATAATATTACAGAGCAGCTCAGTCTGATCAACACTATATTTTGCCTTCAGCTGTAAATTTCTCAGTGGAGTAGAAATGGCTGCTACCAGTGAAAGAACCTAGCTAAAGGCAAACACAGAAGAAATCAATTCAGCCACTGCTAAACTAGTAAAAAGTCCTTTGTGAAGCACTTGTTGCACAATGGCAACGCTTCCAGCCTTTAGTGAGTGTGGTGGTGCAGAGGCTTGCCCATACCTGAAGAATAACCTGAACATATGTACTGTTCCTACACAGAACTGTAAGCGGCCCTGTAAAAATACATGAAGCATGTATCAAGAAAAAAAAAAAAAACATGTTTTATACATATCTGCAATGCATGCACATTCCTCAGCATTGCCTCCCATGCTGCAAGTACAAAGAAAAATAACTTGATGTGCCAGAAAAATACTGTGCTCCTACCATCCTCATTGATGTGACAACCATGTATTTTTTTGCTCTGAATACCAAAGCGCATGTTGTCAGCCCTCCCCATTTAATTTATGATGGATTACCAAGAATATAGGTCTCCTCTCATCTTTATGATCCCTCCTACTGCACTGGCAGAGAACACAGGAGGTTCTCTGCTCATGAGATTCCTGCAAAATCAATGGGTATTCTTTGCACCTATTTAACCAACATAATGTAACGCTTTCAATTGTATATTCAGCAGATCAAAATGGAGCGAAGAAGAAAAGTTCATTGTTTAGGATTTAAATACACTTTAAGCATACATGTGAATTAATGAACCCATGTGGATGTTTATATTTTTTTTTTTCTTCTCATCCATTGAGGGACTCAGGAATTCAGATACTATTGGACTATACTGTCACGTACAGGAGGATTGGACACTGGAAAAAAAATTTTTGGCCTAGAAGGATAGACATCTTTTCTTTAGCTGTGCTGAGAAAAGTCAAAAAAATTTTGCTAGCCTTTATTTATTTATTGGATTCTTCTTTTATTAACGTCTATTACCTTCAAACAGGATTTGTCACTACATACCTGCTCGAGCTGGTCTCTATTTAGGCACTCTGCCTTTTGTGCCATAGTCTGTTGAACACTGCACATTGTAGGGCAATCCCGTAATGTGACTATCATGTGCTGAGTTCTGCTTATGGCGCTTTCCAAACATCACAAGCTGGTAAAAGGTAGCCATAGAGTGTTTTCAGGGTGAGAGCCGTAGCAGTTCCTCTGCACTTGCCTTGTTTACGAAGGCTCATTCTGTTGAGAAGGCTGATCAAGCTAAGCTCTGGGAGGTACTTCAGTATGTATGACCGCTGGGCACCTTTTCAGATTTCCTGCTACTGTTTGTTCAATTGCGGAGAGAGTTAAAGCTGAGGGACTGAGTTCTTGCCATTCAGTGTAGAGAAAGCAACAGTCCACTGCTGCTCTTGTTTTGCAAAGCACCTCATAGAACTCTAGTTTCCATTCTGTTCCTGCTACCTGCCTACAGTAACCTGGTCTACTCCAGCCGTCTATCCCTCATCAGCTGCCTGGCTTTATGAGTACCTAAAGCCTTACCTCACACTTTGGTCCTAGATGCATCACCTCCATGTGGGTACAACATGTTTGTACACAATGGGGGGAGTCCTGCTGCTATGGTGACCAAAACTTTGCAAACAGCTTACAGGGCATCCACATTGTGTTCTCTGAAAGCACCATCTCTGTCATCTGGAATACAGTGAGATGAGGCTGAATCCCCTACCCTGACATCAGGGACCTCTACTGCAGTCACTGAAGATATTGTGGCCAAATACACCCAATCTCTCGCAGGTACTGATTGCCGAGGCTTGGAGCATGAACCAACACTGTTCTCTGCAGAGTCTTTGTCTGCCATTTATGAGGTTAGGACAGGCTGGGCCACCGGTCGCTGTGACCACCTCTGACTCACATCCAAAGTTCCAACAATTTATCTGCGAAGAGACTGTTTATGAAGCACTGCAGTTTTTTGCTTTCACCTCAGAATTACAAGGGATTGTTTAGCCTCTTATTGATGCAGTACACAAAGACCTTTTCATTACACCCGCTATTCAGGGTATATCTTTGTGCGGACAGGAAGCACTGTGAAGAGTCCTTGGCCTCACCAGAGGGTGTGTTGGATGTTCCCCTTTTTTGTTAAATGATAGTCTATATCGGGAATTCCAAGGAAGGACAATTTGAACTCCTGCCTCAATGAAGGAGGTAGTCCCATATTTCCCCCATTCTAGGCCCTTTAAAAAGCCTTCTGCTTGAAGGTGTGCTCCCACTTCTAAAAGTGGGGGACTGAGTCTGAACCCTGGCAGGTCCTTGGATTATGTTGCATTCCGGTGCAGAGAGCACCCTGTTAGGATCACAGACTAATCCCTTGCTTCTGGTGCCCACTCCATCTGTTTCCTCTTGTCTCCCCTGTGCTATTGGACACATTAATGTACCTTTCACATGAGTTTCACCCACTTCTTACTCCTGTCCATGTGTCAACCCGGTCTCTGGAGCTGTGTCCCATGCAGGCCAAAACTACCTCTCAGGGAAATCCCCTGTCCTTGGGACATATAAAACCTTTAATGGTACATGGTATCCCTCAGTGTTTCTGTTCTCCAAAGGGACCCCTGACCTATTAGTTTGACTGGGACCAGTTCTGACTGTTCTCTGTCAGGATAAGAATCTGGATCCTTATTGTTGCTCATGCACACCTGATACTACTGGGAGCATTGATTCTTGCCTAGTGCCTTTTCGTGGCATCCCCACTGTGGGACACTCAGACAACCTTCTGTTTAAAGGGAGTCAGCTTTCTTGATCTTTGAGGTCAGCATCTCCTCAAACAGCCTAACACCTGGATGGATCTGGCTTCATCAGGTTTCAGCACTGGAAGCTGTCTGATACCTGTGGGTGACCCTCCTTTTAGGGTTGTCTGTCTGTTTCAGTCCCCTTCTCTGCTCTTCCCAGACTTTTTCTTGTGCAGTCTAATGGCTTTGTCTGTATAGACTAAGCAGTCCCTGGTGTGATCACACAGCATCTCTCGGAAGCTGGAATTGATGCCTCTCCCCATATTGGGCAGTTACCCCTATTGGAGAACTATCATCCATGGCGCTATTATATGGCCTTCCAGAAGAAGTGGTTCCTTCTGTATTGTGGAATCTTTACCTGGGAAAGTCTCCTGGTTTATACTCCATTTGACACCATCAAGGTGTTGCTGTGCCTTTTACCACCAAGAAAGTGAGTGTGAATAGAAGCTATTTAGGCGACAAGAGAGGTAGTTAGGTTCCTGAGCTGGATGATACCATGATTCTGAGCCTCGCTTGTACTCATTCCCTTAGAGCGGAACTAAACCCATCAATTTAAGTTTGCCAGATCAGTTATAGTTAAGGCATACTGTGAATGACATTTGCTTCTTCAGGTGGCCCCTGGGCTGTAAGCGGTCCCCAGCTCTCATTTTTTGGCATGTTAGCGGATGTTGCTGTTTAGGCCACCCCATCAGTTGGACTGCTTCCTGACATTATCCCATTTCCTATCTCCTTCAGTGGACGAGAAAGAGAAAATAGGATTTGTTGTGTTGTAAAATCCTTTTCTGTGAGTTCATTATGGGACGCAGGTCCCACCCCTCTGTGCTTATGTTCATTCTCTTGGTGCTGATCACTACAAACTGAGGCATGCTGAAAGGAGAATAGGTTATTCTGGGGCTGACCTTCATTTTTTGTTTGCCAATTTGCAAACCTGTAGGCAGCAGTATAGTCTGACAGTATCTGAATCCCTGTATCTTGCAAAGGAATCCAAGAAAAGGTTTTTTTACAGTGTGCACAAAAATCTTGTTTTTTGTCATTGAGATTTTATTTCTCTAACCTGTCACTTACAAAACATTTGCATATTGAATAGAAACGTGAAGCTGAAATAGCTCGCAAAATGAAGGAGGAACATGAAAGGGCTTCAGAGGAGGAACTGGCCACTGAGACCAGGCGCTATCATGAGAAGCTCCATTACCAGAAGGAGCTGGAAACACAGCTGGAAGAAAAGGAGATGAAGAGGCAGGAAGCTTATCAGGAATTCCTGAGGGAGAAAATCCTGGTAGATGCAATTGTCAGGAAGATTTATGAAGAAGATCAAACGTAAGTGTAAAAGAATTGTGTGATGGTCCTTCCAAAGGAACTCTATGTGTATGTGTAGAATTTTCTAACTTCACAAATTATTGTATATGACCTTATCTGTAAAGAACCGCTACGGTAAGCAATAGATGCACCTCTTCTGCCCATATAACATGGATCAGCTCTTATTTTAGAAAAAAAATCCTGTGGGGGGTTTCTAACTTGGATTAGGGAAATAGGTAAGATAGGCTAATTTTTGTTTTTACAAGAGGTAATCTTGTCCTTTTAAATATGAAGGTTGACTGCAGAGTATTTTAAAAATGATTTATAGCAAGCAGCTAGCATCTTATTTACAGGTCTGGCTCTAATTTGGTTTTTACTGACCTATTTTACGTGTAATTTTATCTTTTATTGCCTGGCATCCTAAATAATTTACAAATCAATTCCTTACTAGTCTCTGATATATTTTAGCTAAAAAGAACCTTTTAGAAATAGGTATTGCTGTCTTATTACAAGCAAGCATTTACATGTTTACAAACATTCACCTCAATCATTTATGTCCCCCCCCCCCCCCAACCCCCCTCACATTTCTTCAGTTGGATTGTTAGTATCTAAGTGCTAGAGTTATGACAAATTGAATAATACTGCAAGGTATCATGTTGCCCTCATTAGTAATATAAATCTAAATTATAATAGCCAGTTGTTTGATTTCTAGGCAGAAGAGTAAATGTGGTTGTCTGGGGTACCTAGTTCTGTCCAGTGAAACCCCTACATATCCCCCCCATCCCTTGTAGGTGTGTAGGTCATGTAAATTTCCAAACCACAAAAACAACATTGCCTCTTGCTATGGGGGCACTCATGTGGGCCTCGCCCTCTGCTCCCTCGTTTTGATTGATAGCAGCAGGAACCAATGGCTCCCACTGCTCTCATTAAGTCCAGTGAGGAGGGACAGAGAGAGCAGCACTTACTCTTGGACACAGCGTTGGATCAAGATCAGGCTCAGGCAAGTATTTTGGTTGGGCAGGGGATGTGGAGCTGCAAAAAAAGTTTTTTTACCTTTTTAATGCAGAGAATGCATTAAGGTAGAAAAACCTTTTAGCTTTTATAACCACTTTAAATGGTTCCAGTGTACACTTTTATATTCTAGCATTAACATTGTAATAGCAATACAAACAATAGTTATTTTTGACAATCCAATATAAGCTTACTTTAAAATTGTTCTTTTATGTTGTGAGTTATGACTGTTTTCTGGCCATCTTCTGCCATAACTTCCTGGATTCCCTGCATGCTTTGCAACTTCTCCTCTGCTGCATACATACAATTTCTAAGGACTACATAACCCATAGTACCTTGCAAGCTGTGATTCCTGTACTGACTTTGCCTCCTGATGCTCCTCCCCTCAACACCTCTGTAGTTCAGAAGATGGACTCTGTGAAATGTAACACAGCAGAGCCTATAAACTGGGCATAGGAAAAATGCATCACAGAATTCGGTAAATGTGTGGGGATCTTCACAAAGTGCATTTACCAACTTCATGATTGTTCAGAGTAAAAGAAGTAGGCTAGAAATACAATGTGGAAATTGAATATGATTTTTCATTTTGACCATACATGGTTTCCACACCTGAGGAACCCCTCAACAAATAAGGTCTTTGGTAACCCCTACTAAAAATGATCACCATTACAGCCCATGTTACATTAATAAAATCAGTAAATTGTAACAAAATAAAACAATAGCCAGCATTAATGGTTAACACCTTGCTTTGGTGGAAAGTTGGAAAATTGCCCTTCTGCATTGGTGGTCAATGTAGGTGGAGTTCAGTTTACTGCTCAAGGATCCTTTAGAAACCTCCGGAGGAACTCTGGTTGAGAAAGGCTGATCTAATTTGACTTAAGAAGGCCATAGATCAGCGGTTCTCAACCTGTGGGTCGCGACCCCTTTGGGGGTCGAACGACCCTTTCACAGGGGTCGCCTAAGACCATCGGAAAACACATATTTCCGATGGTCTTAGGAACCGAGACACCGCTCCTCTATCCGTCTCTCCAGGTGTGGGCAGGATGACATGCCGCCCCTGTCATCTGGACACACCCCCGGGATCAATCCTCGCCGGTGATTGGCCGCTGGAACTGTAGCTCAGGAGAGGCACACAGGCGGCCAATCACCGGCGAGGAGGTGGAGCTTGGAGAGGAGGAGCCGAGCGGCCCCACGAAGATCGAGCCAGTGAAGAGGAGGAGAGCGGCTGGAGAAAGAAGACAGCTGACCGGTAAGTGTCTGTACCAGAGGGAGAGGGAGGGAGCGAGTGAGCCCAGGCTGGAGCAGGGGTCAGCAAGGTAAGTATCATTGGTGTCAGTGGGAGGAATAGTGCCCTATCATTGGTGTCACTAATACCAATGATGGGGCACTATTCCCCCCCACTGACACCAACGATGGGGCACTATTCCCCCCCCCACTGACACCAATATGGGGCACTATTCCCCCCCACTGACACCAGTGATGGGGCACTTTACTCCCACTGACACCAGAGTGATGGGACACTATTACCCCCACTGACACCTATGATGGGGCACTATTTTTACCCACTGACTATTCCCCCACTGGACACCTGACACTATGATGGGGCACTATTCCCCCCACTGACACCAATGATGGGGCACTATTCCTCCCACTGACACCAAGTGATTGGGGCACTATTCCTCCCACTGGCACCAACGATGGGGGCACTATTCCCCCCCCACTGGCACCAACGATGGGGCACTATTCCTCCCACTGACACCAATGATGGGGCACTATTCCTCCACTGGCACCAACGATGGGGCAACTACTATTCCTCCCACTGGCACCAACGATGGGGCACTATTCCCCACTGGCACCAACGATGGGGCACTATTTCCCCCACTGGCACCAATGATGGGGCACTATTCCCCCCACTGGCACCAACGATGGGGCACTATTCCCCCCCACTGGCACCAATGATGGGGCACTATTCCTCCCACTGGCACCAACGATGGGGCACTATTCCTCCCACTGGCACCAATGATGGGGCACTATTCCTCCCACTGGCACCAATGATGGGGCACTATTCCTCCCACTGGCACCAACGATGGGGCACTATTCCTCCCACTGGGCACCATGATGGGGCACTATTCTTCCCACTGGCACCAACGATGGGGCACTATTCCTCCCACTGGCACCAACGTTGGGGCACTATTCCTCCCACTGGCACCAACGTTGGGGCACTATTCCCCCACTGGCACCAACGATGGGGCACTATTCCCCCCACTGGCACCAACGTTGGGGCACTATTCCCCCCACTGGCACCAACGATGGGGCACTATTCCTCCCACTGGCACCAACGATGGGGCACTATTCCTCCCACTGGCACCAACGATGGGGCACTATTCCTCCCACTGGCACCAACGATGGGGCACTATTCCCCCCACTGGCACCAACGATGGGGCACTATTCCTCCCACTGGCACCAACGATGGGGCACTATTCCTCCCCCACCACACAACGATGGCACCAACAACGATGGGGCACTATTCCCCCACTGGCACCAACGATGGGGGCACTATTCCCCCCACTGGCACCAACGATGGGGCACTATTCCTCCCACTGGCACCAACGATGGGGCACTATTCCCCCACTGGCACCAACGATGGGGCACTATTCCCCCCCACTGGCACCAACGATGGGGCACTATTCCCCCCCCACTGGCACCAACGATGGGGCACTATTCCCCCCACTGCACTATTTCCCCCCACTGGCACCAACGATGGGGCACTATTCCCCCCACTGGCACCAACGATGGGGGCACTATTCCCCCCACTGGCCCACGATGGCACCAACGATGGGGCACTATTCCCCCCACTGGCACCAACGATGGGGCACTATTCCCCCACTGGCACCAACGATGGGGCACTATTCCCCCCACTGGCACCAACGATGGGGCACTATTCCCCCCCCACTGGCACCAACGATGGGGCACTATTCCCCCCCACTGGCACCAACGATGGGGCACTATTCCCCCCACTGGCACCAACGATGGGGCACTATCCCCCCCCCCACTGGGCACCAACGATGGGGCACTATTCCCCCCCACTGGCACCAACGATGGGGCACTATTCCCCCCCCCACTGGCACCAACGATGGGGGCACTATTCCCCCCCACTGGCACCAACGACAGGGCACTACTATTCCCCCCACTGGCACCAACGATGGGGCACTATTCCCCCCCACTGGCACCAACGATGGGGCACTATTCCCCCCCCACTGGCACCAACGATGGGGCACTATTCCCCCCCCACTGGCACCAACGATGGGGCACTATTCCCCCCCACTGGCACCAACGATGGGGCACTATTCCCCCCCACTGGCACCAACGATGGGGCACTATTCCCCCCCACTGGCACCAACGATGGGGCACTATTCCCCCCCCACTGGCACCAACGATGGGGCACTATTCCCCCCCACTGGCACCAACGATGGGGCACTATTCCCCCCCCCCCCACTGGCACCAACGATGGGGCACTATTCCCCCCCACTGGCACCAACGATGGGGCACTATTCCCCCCCCCCACTGGCACCAACGATGGGGCACTATTCCCCCCCACTGGCACCAACGATGGGGCACTATTCCCCCCACAACGATGGGGCACTATTCCCCCCACCAGCAAACGATGGGGCACTATTCCCCCCCACTGGCACCAACGATGGGGCACTATTCCCCCCACTGGCACCAACGATGGGGGCACTATTCCCCCCCCACTGGCACACCAACGATGGGGCACTATTCCCCCCCACTGGCACCAACGATGGGGCACTATTCCCCCCCACTGGCACCAACGATGGGGCACTATTCCCCCCCACTGGCACCAACGATGGGCACTATTCCCCCCCCACTGGCACCAACGATGGGGCACTATCCCCCCCACTGGCACCAACGATGGGGCACTATTCCCCCCCACTGGCACCAACGATGGGGCACTATTCCCCCCCACTGGCACCAACGATGGGGCACTATTC